GTGGAGACACCTACGGCACACAGAACACTCAGCCGGAGCCCAAAGGGCAAGAGAATACTAAGATCTCTGCACACAGCTTTCAAACCTCCTAAAAAAGGGGGTGCAAACAGTCAGTGCTACTAGTTCCCAAAAACTTAACCGGAGCATAGAGTGGTCTGGACGCAACAATTCCAAGCCCACGGCCAGCCACCAAATATAGGGATGGGGTCCGCTGCGAGCCTTTACTCAGCTCCCCTGGAGCTGCGGATCGGACAACTACAGCCCTGACAGAAACAAGGGGCGACTAGGTCAGGCCGCGGAGTCTGGTACAGCTTCTGTTCCGCCCGGCGTCCGGGCCTAGGGGCGGGGCTGAGGCGGGCCCGGAGGGGGCGGAGCCGCGTGACGTCCACCGGGCCGGGACGCGCGGAGGCGGAGGCGCCTCTTCCTGCTGCTGCTGCGCCCCATCCCCCCGCGGCCGGCAGGTTCCAGCCCGTACCCCGCGTCCGCGCCCGCGCCCCCGCCCCCGGGCCCCGCCATGGGCCTCACCGTGTCCGCGCTCTTTTCGCGGATCTTCGGGAAGAAGCAGATGCGGATCCTCATGGGTGAGGCAGATCGAGTCCGCGGCCCGAACCTGGGCGCCGGCCTCGGCGCAGCCCTCTCGCCCCCGCGTCCCTTCCAGCCCGGCTCACCTGGCTCTCTGACCTCGAGTCACCCACCTCCTAACCCTCCGAGGCCTCTGCTTTGAAGCGGTCCGGGGCCGCAGCGCCGCCTTCGGGGCCTGAAACCCGGAGCTGCGGGCCTGGGTGGGGTGAAGCTTCCTCCGCCCCAGCCCGGCTGCTAAGAAGGGAGGATTCCGCCCTTGGAAATGACTTTTTAAAGGAGCTCGGCCTTCCTCCCATGTCCCTCACCTCCCAGTCCAGTCCCGTCCCTAGCCCACTCTGTGGGCAGCAGTTGGTGCAAGCCACCCGGATTGCCCTGAAGGCCCCGAAGGTAGAGAACAGCGCGCACCTGGAGGCGCTCCCGCTCTCCGCCCCCATCACCATCAGCTGTCCAGGCTTCTACCTTTCCCTCGTCTCTAGGGGGCTCCCTCGCTCCCGTCTCCATCTCTGTGCCCCTTTCTGTTGCAGTTGGCTTGGATGCAGCTGGCAAGACTACGATCCTGTACAAACTGAAGTTGGGGGAGATTGTCACCACCATCCCCACCATAGGTGAGCCCCAGGGTGAGGCAGGGAGGATCTGGGAGCGCTGCGGCAGGCCTTCTCCGGGTCTGCTGAGGCCCTTATCTGGAGCTGACCATGACACCAGATATTGCTACTTGAGAAGTGGGTCACCATATCTCTACATTGCCGGATGGTGAGGGAGGCGGGATGGATGTGGCCTAGCCCCGCCTCATCTGTTGACAGCCAGTCCTCTTGGGTGCTGTTTCCCTTGGCCTTGATCATTGCCTTCTGGTTTTGTAACCCTGTTGAGATCTGAGTAGTTTTTAGTGAATTCCTTCCTTTCAGGACTTTTTCTCACCCACTTCACCCCACCCCCATTATCTGCAGGCTTCAACGTGGAAACAGTGGAATATAAGAACATCTGTTTCACAGTCTGGGATGTGGGAGGCCAGGACAAGATTCGGCCTCTGTGGCGGCACTACTTCCAGAACACTCAGGTGGAGTATGGAGGGGAACTCCCCAACCCCAAGAAAGGAAGAACTATTAGGACTAGATGAACTGAGCTTTTGGCTATAGACAGGGTCCATGAGACAGGAAGACCCACTGCCACCCACTTTGCTAGATTAGACTTTGCTCATCCTTCAGAACTCACCTTAGTCTTGTTCTTAGGCTTAGCTACCTTAGACTTCTGGGAAGCAGTATTCTGAGGCCACACTGCTTGATTTAGCTCCTTAGTATCTTTCCCTGATCCTTGCTCATCTTTTAGATAGACTGCCTCCTCTGAGATTGAATGCTGTATCCTTCACAGGGATTTCTTTAGTTTGTGGCAGGACTTATGCAAAGTCTTAGTGGAAGTTTACCAGATGAGAAGAGCTGATGTAACTAAAGATGAGAGAAGAGAGAAAGGGCCAGATTACACAGTGTGACCCAGAAGGGAGTGATTGCTTCTCCTTCCTTTCTTCCTTCTCACCAAGGGCCTCATCTTTGTGGTGGACAGTAATGACCGGGAGCGAGTCCAGGAGTCTGCTGATGAACTCCAGAAGATGGTAGGTACCCCGAATCCTAGGAACTGAGCCCTAGGTTTGGGGACAGAACAAACTCTGTGGTGGTATGGAAGTCTGGGAATTCCCAAGTATCAGAGGCCAGAAATGTGATTTTTTTTTTCTTTGTGGATATAACATGTTGTGTCTCTCTGTTGGCATAGGACAGAATTTTTTTCATGAATTTTCATACCTTCACATCTGAGCCTAGAAGATGGTGGAAAGAGGTGGCACCTCACATTCTTGCTTTTTCCACTTGGAAATTGTGTTATTTTGCCTAGGGCAGTTTCTCAAATTAGAAGACCTTTTCTAGACTTAAGTTTAGGCATCCTCAAGTTTATTTATAGCTCTTGATCTTGTGTTTAGCAGTAGACTACCATGCTACTCTGTTTTTCCAACAGAGAAGCTAGAAGGTAGAGTGGGGGCTTCCCAACACACCCACCAGAAGAGAACCTGTGGACCCAGTGGGGCCACCAGTTCTACCTTCTCTCTTCCCCTCCCAGCTGCAGGAGGACGAGCTGCGGGATGCGGTGCTGCTGGTGTTTGCCAACAAGCAGGACATGCCCAATGCCATGCCTGTGAGCGAGCTGACTGACAAGCTGGGGCTACAGCACTTGCGCAGCCGTACGGTAAGGATCCCGCTCTGCTTACACTATACCCTGCCTCTCACAGGAGAGCTGCAGGCTGTGGCAAAGATATAAAGAGACCCCTTTTCTTCCCTGCTGCTGACCTCTTTCTTTCCTTCTTCCCACAGTGGTACGTCCAGGCCACCTGTGCCACCCAAGGCACAGGCCTATATGATGGGCTGGACTGGCTGTCCCATGAGCTGTCAAAGCGTTAACTCGCCAGGGGCAGGCCCCTGCTGCCCGGAAGCTCCCGCGTGCATCCCCGGGATTACCAGACTCCCGGGCTCCTCAGGCAGTGCCCTTCCCTCCCACTCTTCCCCCCCACAGACAGGCCTCTGCTCCTGCTCCTGCCTGCATGTTCTCTCTGTCGTTGGAGCCTGGAGCCTCACTCTCTGGGCACAGAGGGGTCCACTGTCCTGCCTGCTGGGACCTGCGGAAGGGCTTCCTGGCCAAGGCCCCCTCATCCAGAGGAGGAGCAGGGATCTGGGTTTACTTTTGTTTTTTCTGTTTTGGGTGTACCCTTGGGGCCAGGTTGTGGGGGTGGGGGGAAGTGAGGGCTCCGGGTGGTGCTATGATGTGGAACTGGATATTGAGTAATAAATTTGCTGTGGTTTGTACTTTGTGTTGTCTGTAACCTAGAAGCTGGATGCTGGTTCATTGGGTACAAAGAGACAATATGGGGGAGGCTCAAAGCAGCTGTGGCTGTAGGGCTAACATATATATGCATACACACACTCATCAAGCTCAGCTTCTCCCTCCTTATTCTTGGACTGGAAATATATAAGGTTTTCAGTAGAGGGAATTTCATTCCTTCCCTTATTCCGAGGAATGTCAGCTACTGATAATAGAATCTACCTTCTTGGTTCTGTAAACTACCCATCCTAGCTATATAGAGTACTAGTTTTTCACAATTGCTTTACACACAGTGAAGGGAATGTGTGTTAAAAATATTGGTCCCACTGGGTGTGGTAATGCATGCCTATAATCCCAATGTCTCTGGAGGCTAAGGCTAGAGGATCACAAGTTCAAAGCCAACCTCAGTAACTCAGTGAGACCCTGTCTCAAAACTTAAAAATAAAAGGGGCTGGGGATGAGGCTCAGTGGTTAAGTGCCTCTGGGTTCAATCCCTGGTGTGTATGTGTGCAAATATATATATATATAATTTGTGTACATGTATATATATGTCCCAAGGCACATTTCAGAAAATGTTTCATCAGAACTGGTCTGAGGCCCAATAATATCCATCTTTAAAAGTAACTAGATGCTCTGACACTGGCCAGAATCAAATTGCCTTATTTTACAAAACACAGGTAGAGTCTAGGGGTTACATACAGTTCCTTGCTCAGCACCACTGGACTCTATACCAAGTCCCCACCTACAGGGACTCAAAACACATGTAAGGAATTGGGTTGTGGGCTGATTCTGCCCATCTTCCCTTTCGATTCCAGCAAGGCTTAGAACCCATCAATATTGCCATCGTTTCTTGTTGTCTTTCTCCCATTTTTCTCCATGTATTTAGTTTCTCCAGTTTCTGGGCTAGGTTTTCTCCTTGAGTTTTGCAAGAAGTATCCCAAAGACTATTGGACAATAGAGCCTCTGTGGGGAAAGGCTGGTATCCTCATGGGCAGCTCTGGCTGTTTGCCCATCCAGCTGATCTGCCTGCTAGTGCAGCTGGGAGTTGGTAAGGATGGTGCTGGGGGCTCCTCCACCCAGACCCCTTATGCTGTCCCGAGTCAGCCCTTTCAGACCAATAGGAATTATTCCATTTTCCCTGATTGTCTATCTAGGGTTTCCTCAAACTTTCTATAAACCAACTTCTGAAGACATTTTGGCCTCATCTTCCCAAGGGCTCTAAAAGATGATGGATTTTTCTTGAGTATCTTGAACTTAAAAAAATACTTAAAACCACAAGAGAGTCAGACAGAACATACTTTCTGGGAAGAAAGCGGTTGATTTCTATCCCATTAATGAGAAACAGGTAAAGAAACGGAAGGACATGGCTAAAGTTGCAAGTTATGGTTCTAATTCCCAGTTAGCTCAGCCTACCTCATTGCCTGGAATGACACGGGGAGGCAAATGCTAGAGGCTTTAGACCCTCCTCCTCTGGACCGTGGATTGATGGTGCTGGGCCAGTGCCCTTTCCCCACTGTGTTGGGATAAGAGGCAACCATCACAGTCACAATGCTCCCGGGTCACAGAGGTGCCAGGCCGTAGGCCAACCTCTTTTGAGAAGTTCCCTCTGGGAACATCTTCTGGTGGGTACTACAGACCTTATTCGGGGCCCTATGGCCTGTGGAACCTCACCGCTGGGGGGAAGGCTGGGCCTGTCGGAGTCATCATCTGTAGCACTAGCCTCATGGATGAAATGGAATGGACAACCAGACATCCTAAGGCAGAGGATCTAAGGGTTGGGCTCATCAACTGGGCAGGAACTTACCTCACTTTTGAAGCATACAAAAATACAGTTACAACTACTGCAAAGAGTTTGGGCAGAAAACAGGTAACAAGGCAAACTTTCTGAACAGCCAATCTCTGTGTGTGTGTGTGTGGCAGAGAGGGTGCACTCTCGACCTAATCATCTTTTCTAATCCTTGCCATTGCCTAGCCAAGACCCTTCTACTCCAGGCTTCTGCTCATGGGTCTGCACTGCTCCATCTCTTTCCCCAAGATGAAGCCTCAACCCTGGCCTGGCTGCCTTACCCTGTTCTGCTCCTTACCCTCTATCCCAGCCCAGGGTGGTTGTGTCATCACAAAGAGAAGTGGAGAGCCCAGCTGAAGGCAGAACTGTGGGCATCCAGGGGAAGTTGGACCAGTTGGACTGTAGTGCAAGGCCTGTTTCTATTCTGGTTGTAGTTTGAAAATGGAGTATTCTAGAAGTACTTGCGGAGACTCCATTTCCATTTTAGAAAAGACTGTAGGCATCTCTGGAATGGGGGCTAGAGTGAGGCAGGAGCAAAGTATTCTACCTTATAATAAAGTTGACCACAGTGAACCAGGCAATTGCATCTTAGTGGTTTACTCTTGGAGCTGGGCATATCTATAAAAGCTCTTGCTTTTCTCCTGCTCTGTTTGGGAAGTTGCCTATAGGGATGGAGGTTTAGTTGAGTGTGCTATCAAGGGGCAACAGTAAGGACAAAAGAAGTAAAATTTAAACCAAAGCTTTTCTTATAAAATTAGGTATTGAAGGATAGAATTCCTTTGGTTTACCTTTGGTTAGCTGGAGATGAGCATCTAGAACTTCTCTTTAGATCTTGAGGAACCCTATGGTGGAATGGCCCAGAGATCTTTCTATTACTATTAGTTGGGAGAGTGGAAGAGCTGACAGCAAGGAGACACCAGGGCAGACATGGAGGGGAAGGTGGTTGGTCTTGGTAAGTGCAGGGGTGATAACAAGGGTTATGGTTGTGGGATTTCTCAGTATAGTTACTTGGCAGCACTGATTTCCCTCTTTTTGCACCATCCATGCCTCCAGACCTGGGAGCTCCTGGTTAGCAATGAACATGAGGCACAGGCTGTGATACGACTAAAGAGCTTGCAGGGTCTCTACCTTCTCTGTGAGGCAGATGGCACTGTGAGCTATGGTCGGCCAAAGAACAGCCACCATGGATGCTTCCTACTCCGTTTCCACCGGAATGGCAAGTGGACCCTCCAGTGCATAATCTCTGGTCGTTATCTGGAGTCTGATGGTGAGGATGTGTTCTGCAACTCCCAGGTCCTCTCTGCTTACCATATGTGGACCCCCCGGCCAGCCCTGCATGTCCACGTGACCCTGTACAGCCCTGTCTACCACAGCTACGCCCGGGCTGACCACACTGTGGGCCGCATCTGGGTGGATGCAGCAGTCCCCTGCCTAGAAGAATGTGGCTTCTTGTTGCACTTCCAAGATGGATGCTACCACCTGGAAACCTCTACTCACCACTTCTTGTCCCATGTAGACCGACTGGTTGCCCAAACATCACCACAAACAGCTTTTCATATGCAAGTACGGCCTGGAGGGCTTGTGGCACTGTGCGATGGAGAAGGTGGTTCATTATATCCACATGGTGCACATATGCTCCTGGGCCTGGGCTCCAATCCCATGAAGGGCCAGGAGTGGTTCATCCTACAGCACTTCCCAACCTGGGTCAGCCTCAGGTCAAAGGCTCGGAAATTCATTTCAGTCATCTATGGCAAGTGCGGGCTCCAACACAGCCATGGAGGGAGGAAGGACCTTCTGTTGAAAAGAGGAAATGAATCTGGGCTCTATAAGGGTGTTTTGTTTTGTTTGTTCCTTCCAGTAATGAGATTGAACCCAGGGCCTCGTTCATACTGGGCCAGCACTTTACCATTGAGCTACATCCCAACCCTTTTTAAATGAATTTTATTTTGAGATATGGTCTTACTAAGATACCTAGGCTGGCCTCAAACTTGTAGTCCCCCTTCCTCAGCCTCTTGGAATAGCTGGGATTATAGGCATGTGCCAAGGGTTTTTGAACCTGCTTATCAGGAAGATCCTGGTGTCCCAAAGGAGGTCTCTTGTGGAGTAGAAAAGGACAAAAAATCAGGGATATGGGGGTTTGGAGAAAAGTCACTTGAGTTAGACTATGGCCATGAACTATGGTCCAACATAGGTAATGGAGGTTGAGGAGGGAAAGTAGGGGAAGTTCAGCAATAGGCATGAAGGAGGAGCCAGGCTTGAGTTCTAATGACATGCACTTCCTCTACAGATGCTGAGGTGTGTGCTGCCTCTGAGCAATTGACCCCAATGTCATTGTTCCAGTTTGAATGTGACTGTGAGAACCCCATCTTGCAGCTTCGTTCAGCCAATGGCTACTACCTAGCCCAGGTAAGACTTTGGCTTTCAAAGCAATAAACCATAAGCTCTGTGCTCTCTCTTTCTAGACACACTTCCTCCTTCTCCAAGGCAGATACCAAGATGGATAGATGAACAGTGAAGGGCCTTGCCTCATAAACATTTAATCCTCTTTTTAAAAAATCAACTTTATTGAGGCACAACTTAAATATACATCATATATATATATATGATGTATACTTAATGATGATATACACTATATATGTATGTATATATATATATATACATATATATAGTGTTTAATATGTAGCCTATATACTTTTATTATATGAGTTAAATACACATCCAATTTAAGTATAAAATTCAGAAGATTTTAACAAATGTATACACCCATACCACCATGCCACAAGTTACAGGATTTTTGTGGGTGTTTTTGGTACCAGGAATTGAATTTAGGGACACTCAACCACTGAACCACATCCCCAGCCCTTTTTGTAATTTATTTAGAGACAGAGTCTCACTGAGTTGCTTAGTGCTTCGATGTTGCTGAAGCTGGCTTTGAACTTATGATCCCCCTGCCTCAGCCTCCTAAACCCCTGGGATTACAAGCATGCGCCACCACACCTGGCAAAGCTTCTCACTCAAGTTATAGAATATTTCTACCACCATAAAAACTCATTTCTGCCCCCTTCCAGTCTGTTTACCTCCACCTGTGACCCTCCCACACCACTGATCTGTGTTCTGCCATTATGGATTAGACTTGCCCATTCTAGAATTTCATATAAAGGAACTTAAATGGTATGTATACCTTTTTTTTTTTTGCTGATTAGTATTCTCTAATACTACTCATAAACATAAACATGATTTGTTTATTCATTCATTTGTTCATGAACATTTGTTTCCAGTTTGAACTGTGATGAATAAAATTGCTATGAGAATCTGTAGACAAGTCTTTTTTGTGCCTATTTATTTATTTATTTGGGGTAAATACCCACAGTTAGAATTACTGGTTCATAAATCTGCATTTAACTTTATGAGAAAATGTCAGCCAGCACAGTGGCTGGCATAAGTCTAAAGTCCCAAAAACTTGAAGGCAAGAGGATCACAAGTTCGAAATCAGCCTCAGCAACTAAGGGAGACCCTGCCTCAAAATTTTAAAAAGGGAGGGGTTTGGAAATATAGCTCAATGGTGAAGGGCCCATAGGTTCAATTCCTAGTACCACAAAAAAGAGTTAGTTTTCTAAAAATGACTATACTATTTTGCATTTTTACCAGCAATTTATGTAAGCTCTAATTGTTCCATGTTCTCACCAACACATGATATTGCCTGTCTTTTTAATTATAGCTACTTTAGAGGGTGCATAATGACATCTATGATGGGTTTAGTTTGAGGGTACAATTACAATCAGTCATTCTTAATCAGTCATGTTTTTGTTGGCTATTTGCATATCTCCTCTGTGAGGTGGTTGTTCAAATCTTTTACCCATTCATTGCTGGAATAATGCCAAGTTGGAAGGGATCTTTATAAGTTCTAAATTTAAGTCTTTTGACAAATATATGTATTATAAATATTTTCTCCCAATCTATGACTTTTCTTTTTGTGTACTTAATGGTCTTTTAGAAGCAAGTTTTTAATTTCAATGAAGTCAAGTTTGTTAATTTTTAAATATTTACTGCCTTTTTTTTTTTTTTGGTAGCAAGAAATCATTGCCTACTCCAAAGTTACAAAGGATTTCTCTAAATTTTTCTTCTAGATGTTTTATAGTTTAACTCTCTTTTATGTCTATGATCCATTTCAAAATGATTTTAGAGTCAGGGCCTACATTTATTTTTCTCCATATGATATCCTGGTCCCTCTTTTTATGCTGTGATCTGAGATACAATACAGGCTAGGGGAAGTGGAAGAGCTGAGGTCACAACCTGCCTTCCAGAAGGATTTGAAAGCATAAAGCATGCTCTGGGGTAGGATGTGCAAAGAGGTCCAGGAATAAAAATATGGGAAGAAAACTGAAATTGTGGGTACTTCATTGTGGTTCCTTTTCTCTGGTATCTAGCGGCGCCACAAGTCATTGATGGCTGATGGCCATCCAATGGAGTCTGATACCTTCTTCCGTGTACACTGGAATTGTGGCAAGATTATCCTGCAGTCTTCCAATGGGCGCTTTTTGACTACTGCTGCCAATGGCCTGCTGATGGCCAGTGCTACCATTCCAGGTGAACTAAGCAGCCTTACTGCCAGATTATTTCAAGCCAGAGGTACTTTATCAAGGAGCTAACATGTGACTTTTTTTTAAGGCATTGGAAGCACTGGAGTTGGGTCATAAGCTTTAGGTCTACATAACCACTCAGTCACTGAGTTTTTGTTACCTCCTGAGCAAGTCACCAGTTTGAGTCTCAGTTTTATCATCTGTAAAAATGAACATGATATCTACTCTGCTGCCTCATAGGGTTGTCATAAGCATTAGATAGATTAACAAATCCCTAAGGAAGGAAGAATATTCAAATTTCTTGGGCTCCACACTATGTTAGGTGCTCTCACAAACATTGCACAAGTGCCCTAACATAAGACAAAACAGGTGTTCACTAAATGTTAAGATAGTAACAATAGCCTCCTTCAGTTAGGGTTCCCTTCCTGCTTCCATCCTAGAAAACATTTAAGACATCCCAACTAGATTTCTCCTCCCTGTTTCTTTCAGGTCCAAATGAGGAGCTGGGGATTCGATTTGCCAACCGCCCTTTCCTTGTTTTGCGAGGTCGGTATGGGTATGTGGGCTCCTCATCAGAGCATGACCTCATACAGTGCAATATGGATGAACCCGACTGCATTCACCTTCTGCCCTGCCGTCAGGGCATCTACCACTTCCAGGGTGGGTGGTTGCTTTTCCCCACTCCAAGGTTCAAATCCAGCCCCTGCTTTAGCCCTAGCCCAGATTTAAGGACAGCCACTTAGGCCTTCTCATCATTCATCGGAAAGGGGAAAACCAAGCCAGGCACAGTGGCACATGTCTGTAATCCCAACAAATTGGGAGGCTAAGGCAAGAGAATTCCAAGTTCAAGGCCAGCCTCAGCAACTTAGGGTGGCCCTAAGTAACTTAATGAGACCCTTTCTCAAAATGAAGAATAAAAAGGGCTGGGGATGTAGCTCAGTGGTAAAGTGTCCCTGGATTCAATCCCTGGCACCAAGAAAAAAAAGAAAGAAAGAAAAGAGAAAACTGAGTTTTTGTTTGTTTTCACACTTCAAGACTCCAGAGTGGGTTGGCAGACCAGGAACCTGTTGACCTTCCTGCATTTCTGCAGAAGGACTTACCAACCCAGGCAGGGGAGGGTAGCATGCCTCCAGGAAGCCCCCTCAGAGGCTACACTGCTGGAGGACTCCCCTCCAAACAACCCACCGACCTGAGCTCTTCCCTCCCCAGCACAGGGTGGATCCTTCTGGTCAATAACATCCTTTGGCTCCTTCCGCCCTTGGGGAAAATTTGCCCTCAACTTCTGCATAGAACTTCATGGAAGCAACTTGCTCACAGTGCTGGCACCCAATGGCTTTTACATTCGAGCCGACCGAAGTGGCACCCTAATGGCAGACAGCGAAGATGTTACCAAAGAGTGTATCTGGGAATTTTAGGTAAGGGGAGAGTAGGTAAGGACTTGGGACTAGGGGAGCAGAGTGGGGAGGCGGATGGGGACATGTGTAATGGAGACACCAAAATGCACTACTGGGCTGACTTCTGTCCAAGATTTGATTAACTTCAGACATATTCCAAATCCATGCCATTCCTTAGGGACTTCTAAACATGGATTATCTAGAGAGGAGAGAAGAAATCATATCTCGATTATGCCATACTGAAGTGTGCTTCCAAGCAAAACTGGAGGGAACAGAGTGAGATGTGCTTGCCTACTTCTCCTATATAAGATGCAGAATTTGCCTTATTTGGGAGATAAATGAGTGACTTTTAAGGATGTATGAAGGTGGAAAAAAATATGCTTTTTATTCTATGCACTTTTTATCCCTATCCCATGGATCCCTGGCTCTCCAATATTTATCTCTAGCCTTGATCCTCCTTGGCAACTATAATTTCACCTCTCTCCTGAAAGAACCAAAGTTAAGTCCACTTCACCCTGTCAGTCCCTCAAATTCAGCACAGCTGAAATCAGTTCCCCAGCCTCCTTTCCTAAAATGATTCTCTTCTACCATATTGTTTTCTTTCCTGTCATCTTAGGCACTGCCAAAACCCCAGATGCTCAGGCTCAAGACTCTCTCTGCCTTGCTCCTTTGGCCCCTTCATCAAACTCTGACAATTCTTGAGAACTTTCTTAGCAATGCCTCTTGAGTGCTTGCTGCTTCAGAATAACCCTGGCAGTCCCAGGTTTTTCATCAAAAGCCTGCCCTGTTCCCATCGCTCCTCAGCAGCACTCCCTGCTCCCAGATCCATCCCCACCCAACTCTTCTTTCTTAAAGTGCAGCTTCCCTTTTACTGTTTTTCCTTTACAACAATCCAGGGTGCCTTGTTATTCTTTGTCCTGAACCTTCACAATCAGTCTCACTTTCCTGGCTTGGAAAGTCACAGGATATCGTAGAAAGCACTTTGATTTTGCCATCAGACAGACCTTGAATCAAGAGCTAATGAGCTTGTAAGCTAGCTCTGTGACTTTAGGGAAATTACTTTCACATTTTTAGGTCTCCCATGTTCCCTATAAAATGGGAACTACTACACCAGAAGTATTAGGAAGGTTAAATATCAGTCCGCATCTAAATATGGACCCTGAGTATGTATTCAATCTTTCCCATTTTCTGCCAGTTTTCTACACATACTCTTTACTATGGCCAAAATGAGAAAAATAAAATGAAATTCCATCCTTCTTCAGCTTTCTTAACTATTTCATGAATAGTTAAGAACTATTTATTGAACTTAAAAATTTCAGGATCCTTCCAAGCCTGACATTCTAATAGTGTACTGTAGTGGTCATTTCTAGTCTCAGACCTGGACTGTAATTAGGTTTTTTATCAATTAAACTTTGTTGCTTGATTTTAGGCAAATGAACTTCTCAAAGCCTGTTTCTTGTGGGTGAAATAGGAACCTAATATTGACTTGGTAGGATAGTTATGAAGATTGCACGAGAGAATGAATGCAAAATGCTTGGTGAAAGTTGGCACCTAGCACACCCTCATTCTATCAAACTCTCTGATCCCGTTCAAATTCTTAATAAACTAGGGCCAGGGGTGTGTAGCTCAATGGTAAAGCACACATATAACACTCTTGAGGCCTTGGTATCTAACCCAGCAACAAAAGAAAACAAAACAAAATCAACAAAAGACAAATTCTTAGTAAATTATTTTTCTTGTTAACTTTGGTATTCCTCTGAACTTCTATGGGAGGTGTTTTGTTTTGTTTTTTCCCCCCACCACTAAAAAAAAAAAAATCCTGCCTTTTTCTGTAAGTAAACTTCACATGTGTCTGGTGTTTATCTCTCTTGAAGGATGGGGCAAATCATTTTATTTCCTCTCCCCCCCCTAGGATCTTACCCAATAGTCTCCTAAAAGCTAGAAATGACTGTAAATGACAGATAACTAAAAATGTTTGTTTCTTGTTCCCTCCCAGGCCAACAGGATGCCACCTGCCAAACTCCAAATCCTCCAGAAAAATACTACTGCACTAAACAGAACAGGAACCCCAGAGTCAAGATCCGAGAGAAGAATATCTGTTACACAACTTTTCCTACCCAGTTTAGCAAAACACCTGTTTTGAGCAACAATACATCACAACAGGCCACCGAAAAAAAATCCTTGTGTGCATCTGACTCTGAAGAGAGTAGGGGTAGGGCTGAGGGTAGAGACTGAGTCTCCAGGCTGCTGTAAGTTCCATTAAGGAGAAAAGGAGACCAAATGGTAAAGTTCTTCCACTCATCCTCTTTATCACTACCCAGAACCACTAATCTTTTCCTAGTGGTCCCACGAGGATCCAATCTTGCCCTGAAGGATTCAGAAATAAGATATGACTTTAAATGTGCTTTTTGTTCAGAACAAATGAAGAATTGTTAATCCTATGGGCATAGGGTAATGGTAATAACACTTTACACCTGTATGGCCCACTGTCTGGCCTCCCTCTTCTGCAGTTCAACAGATTTCCCTGCCCTATCATTGTCTTTGATCCAGTGAAGTGGACCCCACCATACTTCCTCTACCATTTCTCACCCTTTACAGGAAGCTGAAGTTCTTTGACCAAGGTCCCATGCCTAATGACAAAAGAGCTTCACGTCTAACTCAAATTTTCTGACCCTGATGTTTGCTATTCTTTCCAGCAAAGCACCATTTCTAAAAATATCCTTTATTCCTGCTCTGTCTTTATAGTGTGGGCCTTTATCTACCTAATAATTACCCTATTAATGTTTTTTCTATTGACACAGACTCAAACACATTTATTTAGAAAGCAATATGTTTATCACTATCATAAAGCAAAAAAATCCAAATGGCTTGCCATAAGTAGAAAGCTGACTATAAAAAATAAATACAATGAAAATAAAATGTTATTATCAAATCCCAATTAGACTCCCCCTCCCCACCCAAGACTCCCTTTTCTCCTTAAAAGGGAATTTAACAACTGTTAAAGAGGTGCTAAATGAATCAAAATGGAATTTTTGATGCAATTAGACTTGAAAAGAAGTTGAAAAGGGAACGTTTGCTCAACTTCTAACTCGCTGTTATTTAAAGCAGTGGCCACACAACTCCTAAAATATTTCCACACATCAGCAGTGATGCCTGTCTTCCACTTTGGGAAAATTGCCCCATAACATAATACATGTCTGATTTTTAAGTCTCTTGAGAAGAGAAGACTAAAACCAGAATATGAGAGAGATTCAGTTTGGATAGAAGAAAATTACCTAACTCTGTAAGTATATTTCTCCTCAAGAAACTTCAAGAGAATTTGTGAGGTACAGTGGCACACTCCTGTAATCCCAGCTATGTGGAAGGCTGAGGCAGCAGGATGGCAAGTTCAGGACTGGCCAGGGCAACTTAGGAAACCTTGTCTCAAAATGAAAAATGAAAGGGCTAGGGGAATAGCTACTGGTAGAGTGCCCATGGGTTCAATCCCTAGTTCCACAAAAGTGAAAAAAAAAATTTTTTAAATTTAATAAGTGAAGGTTGAAAATGCCAAACTAAAGCATCTACTTTCCTGGAGAGCACTAAGCACAGGACCCTGTGGGGCATAAGGAACATGCCTGTAGTTAGAGCACTTGGGAGGCTTGAGTCAGGAGGTTCACTTGAGCCCAGGAGTTTGAGATCAGCCTAGGCAACCCAGTGAGACCCTGCCTAAAAAAAATGTCCTATCTAGCTGGGCATAGTGACCAACTGTGTAATCCCAGTTGCTTGGGAGGCTGAGGTAGGAGGATCACAAGTTCAAAGCCAGCCTTGGCAACTTAGTGAGATTCTAAGCAGTTCAGTAAGACTCTGCCTCTAAATAAAACATAAAACGGACTAGGGATGTGGCTCAGTGATTAAGCCCCTGGGTTCAGTCCCCAGTACTAAAAAAAAAAAAAAACTCCTAATAAAGAGATAGAACCTCAGAAATCATCTAATGCGGAATCTCTTCCTCAGCATTCCATAAATACATACATATGCTCAGATGCACAGGCGTGTGTGCACAGGGATATACATGTATACACATACACACACACAATACACACACACACACACACACACACAATCTTATACCCAGTTTCTCATAAGTGGTTATTGGTCTTTTGCCTAAAGGAGTCATAGGGACTCAGGTGAGGCAACTTCTTCATTGCAGATGTCCATCCTGTGCTGTGCAGATTGTCACCCCATAAAATCTTGCAGTTCTGTCCAGCAGGACCACCCACTTGAAAGTAGAGAAGGCAGGCAGTGACAGGGTGTGCTCTATTATGCTGAAAAGTGCATTCTTGAACTGTTATCCCACAGAACTTTCTGTACTGCTGGAAATGCTTTATAATATTTTCTATCCAGTATTATAACCATGAGCCACATATGGCATTTGAGATGTGGGTAGTGAGAGTAAGAAGCTGAATTGTTCATTTTATTTGATGTGAATGACATTTAAGTGGCTACATGTTGTTGGTCACTAATTACTGAAAAGCATAGCTTTGGGTTATTTGTTAATAAAAAGATCTCTTGAGTGACAACTTCTGGATCAGTACTTGTCCAAGGTGGGAGTAAACAAATGTGACTCCACTCCCCCATTCCCAACCCCCTTGGCACTATTACTATTTATCTTCTGACCTTCAAAAGGGAAAGAATTTGGAGATATGAGCTCATTCATCTTTCTGAATATCCCCTTCTTCACCTTCTTTTCTCTGTTTTCCTCCCTTTCCCCACATCCCAAGATTCCACAGGAAGGATCTAGAGCTTTCTCTGCAGGGGGGACAGACTTGAGAAAATTCAGAACTTACTGCCAAGAAGAACCAATCTAACATGCCCTTGAGCATGTATAAATGGAAAATCAGGATATGAAAAATGCCATTTCTACTCTATTTGCCATGATGACAAAAATATACATGCATTAGGGAATCAATGTCTATTTTTATTTTTTTATTTTTTTTTTACCTATTGTTAATATTAAAGTTTGTTTTTCTTTTTTTTTTTATTGTTGGTCGTTCAAAACATTACATAGTTCTTAATACATCATATTTCACAGTTTGATTCAAGCGGGTTATGAACTCCCAACTTTACCCCGTATACAGATTGCTGTATCCCATCAGTTACCCTTCCATTAATTGACATATTGCCTTTCTAGTGTCTGATGTATTCTGCTGTCTGTCCTATTCTCTACTATCCCCCCTCCCCTCCCCAACGTCTATTTTTAAAAAAATATTTTTTATTTGTAGTTGGACACAATACCTTTATTTAATTTATTTTTTTATGTGGTGCTGAGGATGGAATCCAGGGCCTTGCACGTGCTAGGCGAGCACTCTACTACTGAGCCACAACCCCAGCCCCCTCAATGTCTATTTTTCAAACTAATGAATTATAATAAATTTTCTTAGATGAGAATATGGTATTGTGGTTATTAAGAAAAGTTCCTTATTTTTTTGAGATGCTTGCTGGAAGACTTAGGAATAAAATGCCAGGATATATCAATGTATGAATATGTACACATATATATGTAGACTTTTTTGGGGGGGGTACTAGGGATTGAACCCAGGTGTGCTTAACCAGTGAACCACATCCCCAGCCCTTTTTTATATTTAATTAATTTATTGTTATTATTTTTTGTGTTTGGTGCTGGGGATTGAACTCAAGGCCTTGTACATGTGAGGCAAGCACTCTACCAAATGAGCTATATCCCCAGCCCTATATTTTATTTTGAGACAGCGTCTTGCTGAGTTGTTTAGGGCTTTGCTAAGTTGCTAAGGCTGGCTTTGAACTTCCAATGCTCCTGTATCACCTTCCTGAGCTGTTGGGATTACAGAAGTGCACCACATGCCTAGTTTATATGTAGATCTTTGATTAGCCAAACACATAGATAGATAAATAGATAAGTAGATAGATACATACATACATACATACATTCATGTGGAAACATCCATGGAGTAGATAAGATATATAGATACGTAGACAAATACATTGATTGGATACATACATATAAACACTGGATAGGTAGGTAGATAGGTAGGCATAATTGTTAAATTTTGGGGTGGGCATATTGGTGCTCACAGGGAAAACAATGCAACAAGAAATACTGCTAATTTAAAATGTGTTTTTATTACTGCCAAGTGGAGGCCTCTTAAGGCCAGTGTGAGTAGTGGGTGGGTGCTGCCTCTCCAGCTCCTCCAATCACATGATGCGCAGGAGGGGCAGTGAGGCAGGGCCAGGCAAGGTCCACACAGGAAGGGGGAGCCACAGGAAGGAGGAAGGCACAGCAATCTGTGTAGGCAAGATGGTAAGGACAATGGGCAAGATGGCATTAGATCCTGCCCCATCTTCACATTCTGGGTCTCTTGCCTAATTTCAAGTTTTATTGTAGCAGAGGGTCAGGCCAGACCAGAGCCTTAAGGCCACCAAGACTGGTTATGGGGACAGCAGAAGGATGGACAAGGAAGTAAGGAATCAAGGAATGTAGCTGAGGGGGCAACTAGCCTGCAGGACAAAGAAAGGGGGCTTGAGTTAACTGCTTGCCATCCTCTCCTCAAAATCACTGAGTGGGAAGGGCTGACACATCCATTCCCTACCCCGAATATATTCACTCAAATCCCAATCCCACTTCCCTTCACCCACTGTGGCTCTCAGTGCTACTATAGATTCAGGGGTACTAGTGTCCCCAACTTTGTGAATCATGCAAGGAAAGCTATATGTTGTCCCTAACTGGACATCCTTCAATGGCCCTACCTGGAGATCCATGCCTTCTTGTGGGTCTAGGAGTCAATCAGCCCTCTCATACCTTGCAGGATTGAGGCCTGGCTTCAATTCTTACCCAAGCAGGGCTGGAGACAGGCTTGGAGAGGAGTGTCACTCAGACACCTGTCTGGTGCTGCCTGCAAACTCAGCTGAGACCAGGAGGGACCCGGTGGTTCCAGGGCTGGAAGAGCTGCTGTGGGCATACTGCCAGGGGACTGCTAGAAAAAGCCAAAGGTGACCCTCAGCTGCCAATGAGGCTTAATGTTTCAAAGGCCTGGGATCCCAGGACCCCCTTTCCCACAGGCTGTGTCCTGCACAATTCCAGAGGGTGCTGTTCACATAGTAGACTAGGGAACAGCACTAGCTATAAGTGTGCACAGTGAGGGCTGTGGGGAGCTGTAGGTCCCAGTTCAGGCCTTCACCAGATCTGGGAGAGGCAGTGAGCCCTTCAGTCTTTCCAGTTGACAAACTCCCCTCTCTTCCCAAGTACCTGTGCAGAGATGATCCATGGGGACACCCTTGGTACAGTCAGATCCTGAGAAGCACCTACAAGGTGGGAGTGGATCCACTCAGAGGGAGGGATTGGTTGGGAGCAGAGGGAGTATGGTGAAAGATGGGGATTCAATGCAGGAGTTCCAGGAAAGGCAGTAACTTCTTGCAGGGATGGGAGGAGATGGATGTCACAACTGTGAACTGCCTTTCTTTAGAAAGATAGACTAAATCCCAGGGATGGTTCTGGGAACAGTGCAGCCCTTAAGAGTAGGGACTACGTATGTCCAGCATCCAGCAAAGAGCCTGGTACATGGAAAGTACTGTGTAAATGCTGGCTGGCTGGATGGATGGATGGATGGATGGATGAGAGGGACTGTTGGATGTATAGATGGATATGCACAGAAATCACCTGGCAGTTGCATTTCCCACTTCAGCTTCTCTTGCCGGCGCCATTTGGCTCTTCTGTTAGAAAACCAGACCTGAGGGGAAAATGGGGACCATGTTACTGGCTGTTCTCTCTGCCACCTGGCACCTGCTGCTGTCACCTGAGGCACCTGGCACCTGGCCTGGACTCAGAATGCAGAACTTTCTTTGATCCTGATGTGTCCTTCCTCCCTATTCTGACCTTTGCTGTCCGTCCCCTTCTTTAACTCAAAGGCTTGGGCAGGAAAGAGAGAACAATCAGAGAACAAGGAGGGCTTCATCTCTGATTTTTGCTCCAAACAAGCTTATTCCCACCTTCTTGCCCACTTCTCTACCTCACCAGAATCCATAGCTCTGGCTAGTACTGGAGTCTTTACTATACTCTGGCCAGTACCGACTCTTCTCCCCTGTGGTTGGTTCACTAGGTATGACATAACTCACCCTCACCGTGTCTGCAGGCAGAGAGGTGGCAGCAGCCAGTTTTCCACGGGCCACTGAATCAGGATACTGTCCACGCTGGAACTCTGCAGAGATGGAGGCTCACACAGCAAGGGCATAGGGAGGGAGCAAGACGTGGCCTCACTCCCCACCTGATATAAACCTAAACTACCTTCCCAAGAAGGAGCTACCTGCAGCCTGAACTTCTTAGCCTTTGGCCACAGGTCTCAAGGTTGCTGCCCCCATGTCACACCAAGGACCCTTTGCCCCTCCATCCACTCTAGCCCAATACCTTTCTCCAATGCCTCTGCTTGGCCTGGGGAGAAGATAGTTCGATTCCGGTGGGTGGTCCCCGAGGTGGGACCTTGGGGATACTCAGAGCCATGATGTGGAATGGAAAGAGCTGGTGCCAAGACACCTGCAAAGGAGGACAATGTTTTGAGATGGTCTGTGTTGAGGTTCCTGAGTCCCTGGCACTGCAGCTAGGTGACAGCATGGGTACAAGAGGAGAGCCAAGCTGGTAAAGCATTCAATTACTTGGGGATTATTTCAGGGGCCCTTGATGGGAAATGTACTCAGTATATTGTTGTGTTTGGGGAAAATAGCAGAAGATATGGTCCCCATTTGCACAATCCCATAGAACATGAGGATACCCTGAGAAGCTACATATAAGGCAGAAGGAGAGTGTAGAAGACCCAGTCCTGCTTCTTCCTCAGCAGATCCTGTGAACCTACAAGCCTGGGGACCTACATTTCATTCCATGACCTGCCAGCAACAGACTGATGACCTCTGGTATGTCACCCCACTTCTCTGAACTTCAAGTTTTTTTCTGCCAAGAGAGAATAAAGCTCTTTACCAGGCCCTCCTTATTGGGTTGTTGGGAGGGTGATCCATAAAAGAATGAGAGCTGGGTGCGGTGGCACATGCCTGTAATTCTAGCAGCTTGGGAGGCTGAGGCAGGAGGATTGCAAGTTCAAACCAACCTCAGCAACTTAGCAAACCCCTAAGCAACTTAGCAAGACCCTGTCTCAAAATAAAACACAAAAAGGGCTGGGGATGTGGCTCAGTGGTTAAGTGCCCCTAGGTTCAATCCCTAATACCAAAAAACATATATTCCCTAAATAAAATATTAAAAATTGGGGATGTGGCTCAGTGGTTAAGTGCCCCTAGGTTCAATCCCTAATACCAAAAAAAAAAAAAAGATTGAGAATAAGAATGGTTGGGGCACAGAGCGGGAGCTGAGGCAGGAGGATCACAGGTTCAAAGCCAGCCTCAGCAAAAGTGAGGTGCTAAACAACTCAGTGAGACCCTGTTTCTAAATAAAATACAAAATAGGGCTGGGGATGTGGCTCAGTAGTTGAGTGCCCCTGAGTTCAATCCCCAGTATAAAACACACACACACACACACACACACACACACAGTGTTTTAAGAGCCATAAAATACTGAGGTTTTGGTTCTGATTATCCCTGAGGGGCAACTCCAAACCTACCTGATGACCTGAGCTGTGGCCAGTGCAGTCTTTGGTTTTCCTGTAGCACCCTCAGGACTCGATTGATGGAGGAGACCTGGAAGTGTTGGGGTGTTGAGTGAGAAGAAATGTACAGACCCAGGACTGCATCTGAGGATAGCCCCCTAGTATGCCTTCTCTCTCCACCCACATCTCATTCCCAAGGGCAGCTTCCTCTCTCTCCCCATGCTTTTGTCTCATCTCTCTCGCAAACCATCACTTTTCAAAAGAGCAAGTTATGGGTCAGAATATGCAAGTACCCCACCCCCAGCTTGGGATTGAGTTGCCAATAAAAAGGGATCTTGAGCTCCCTGAACAAAAGCCTATTTGCCAGCCCCAGTGCAGGGATGGGGGTCACTTACACTGGGAGTCTTGTCCTGCGTGCAAAGCCCTTCAGCACAAAGCTGACGTTGGATCTCCCAAGCAAAGAGAGCTGGATACTGGTCTTTAAGCTGGGCAATTCGAGCCACCACAGGGGGTGTGGCCAGACGTGGCTTGCTTCCCCCAATACACTTGGGCTCCAAGATACCTGTGCGGTAGTAACGCCCTAGAATCTTGCTCACACAGCCATTTGATACCTGAATCCGGTGAAAAGCAAGGATAACTAAGACATGATGGGCAGAAGGAGGGTGAGTGACCCTGGGATGGAAGGAGGCTACAAGGCAAAGCAAGACTTACTGGACCAGATTTGAGAGTCCTGCATTTTTTAAGGAACACACTTATGTTCCTAAAGCTCCCCTTACCAATCAAAAGGGTCTTAGAGGAGGTAGCCCAAGCCCAAAGACCCTCAGAGTCTGTAACAACTTCAGACTCTTGTCTTCAGAGGGGCTTTCTCTCACTAATTCATGCCTCACCATTGGGTGAAGGTTCTGGCATTACCTTAAGGCTCCGTGAGATATCGCAGGGTCGCATACCACTGACTGCTAGCTGCACGATCTGCTGCCGGGTGTCCAGAGGTAGGGGCCGACCATTCACAAAAAGTCCCCCCAGCTGATTCATGCTGCTGATCCCTGGGCATGAGAAAGAAGCACCCATACATTTCCTCTTCCCACCTTGGCAGAGAGTCTCTCAGATCCCTCCTGCCTATCTTGCCACCATAGAGTAAGTCTGGTCCCAGGAGACTTCTCCTCTCCTGATCCCAGGGACCTCAAAACATGCCACTCTTCTTGGGAGCTGGCTCATGGGTGAATCTTTGCTCTTTGACCAAATCTTAACTCAGGAGAATCTTGTACTGACTCTCCTGGGCTAAGCAAAGCAGGGTAGAACAGAGAGAGACTGACTGGAAAAAACTTCTTCCAGAACATTGGCCAAGGGCAGATGAAATCATCTTGATGAAAGCAAAGACCTGAACTACTCCTCTGTCTCTGAACTTCCTCCTCCCCATTCTTCTCATTTTTTTTTTAAAGTTGTAGATGGACACAATACATTTATTTTATTTATTTATTTTTATGTGGTGCTGAAGATTGAATCCAGTGCCTCACACATGTGACGAGCGTTCTGTCACTGAACTACAACCCCAGCCCCGTTCTTCCAATTTCTCTCAGGCTTCTTACCATCCTGCTGCATGCTCCAGGCTGACCCTCCCTGCAGGAGGACAGGAAGCCAACTTGGAAGATTGGGGAGTCCTTCTGGGAGCTTCTATTCCTGTTTTGAGGCTGGGTCTGCAATAATAGGGGATTATCTGGATAAGGTCTTTTTGAAATTTTGCTTGAAATGATTTGGGATGTAATGTTTTGTGATAGAAGGTCAAGTTTAAAAAATTTGCCTGCAGGTTGACTCAAATCATAGCATTAGAATTCTCTTTACTTAGCCAGGCATGGTGGCACACACCTGTAATCTCAGCAGTTTGGGAGGCTGAGACAGGAGGAATACCAGATCAAAGCTAGCCTCAGCAACAGCAAGGCACTAAGTAACTCCATTAGACCCTGTCTCTAAATAAAATACAAAATAGGGCTGGGGATGTGGCTCAGTGGTTGAATGCCCCTGAGTTCAATCCCTAGTACTCCCACTCAAAAAAAAAAAAAAAGAATTTTTTTTACATAAACTCTTATGCAATGAAAATCATAGGATTGGCTGAGGACTGGGTCTTTTTGGATAAGAAAGAATGAAAAAAAATCTCATTTCCTGAATATCCATTACAGAAATTTGGGGAGGTAGAAAGGGATGATACTTCCCAATACTCCAGCTTTCTCTTTTCAAAACAGGCAACTCTAGTCTCTGGGTACTCATTAGTCTTCCCAGCCCCTGGCAAAAACACTTGAGCCATAGACCCCTGAGTCCCCAAGTTCAGGGCTTCACTTTCACTACCAGGCAGTCCTGGATTAATTCTCCAAACCACCAGGCAAATGTTTCCTTCAGAGCACTTTGCGGGAAAGGCTTGCTCCTGTTTTTTCATATCTTCTAAGAAGCTCTGGGGAAATGTCAGGCTCCGCTCTGCCCCACCAGGCAGTGAGCTCTGGTCCCACGCATTGGAAGTCATGATGAACAATACTGGTTATAACTTCTCATAGAAAATGCACTCTTAGCAGATTCTAATCTGTTGAAGTTGTTGGTTCCTGTTAACCCTGAAAAGTCTAGATCTCACAGTAGAACTTCACCTTCAGAGATGACATTCATTCATTAAACTAATACTTCTTAAACATAGAGAAGGGAGGGAGAGAGCTGTCTGCTGACAACCATCTTGAGCACAAGAGAGTCTCTGGGCAAGGGACATAAGCCATAGGTCACCATGTCTTTTTGCTTTCATCATCCATTAATAATTAATGGGAGTCAAAGCTATTTTCTCCTCCTCCTCCTCTTCTTCTTTTTTCTTGAGACAGGGTCTCACTAAGTTGCTTAGACTGCCCTTGAACTTGCAAATCCTCCTGCCTCAGCCCCCCAGGTCTCAGGGATTACAGGCACTATACTCAGCTGAAACTGCTTCTTTTCATGCCTGGAATCATGGCTGGGATGGAGGTGATGCTTGGAAACAGTTTACACATGAAACTTTCCTGTAATAAGCATGCCATCTAAGCCCAGTTAACTCATCTGCAACTATTTACTGAATAAGGTCATAAGCATGAGCACATTGTTGGTCGTTCAGTAGGAAGGCAGTAAAAAGAAAAGGGGCAAGATTTATGCTCCCCAAGAGATTACCATGCAGCAGAGAAAGGAGACTAGCAAGGGTGAAAGAACAAATTATAAAGAGTATGGAATTCAGTCCCTACTGTTTTAAGTTCAGAAGCTAAATTAACTTATTTTTCTAAGTAGGTAGAGATACACTCCCCCTCCAGTTCTCATCTTCCCACAGGGTTGGGAAGGCAGGCAGAGGTTTTTCCAAAGAAAACAGAGGCACAAATTGGGGTTTCCACAAGTCAGGGGCCACTCAGAGTAAGATTCAAGTTTTAGAAGCCAGTTCCTTGCCAGAAATCAAAATCTCTGGCTCCTAATCCTGAGACTCTTTGCCCCTACTCCTGCTTCATGTTTATCTAGTTGCCACCAAAGAAATGGAGAGAAGAGAGTCAAGCTGGGACTGTGAAGGGCAATGCCAGGACAGGAGGATGAGGGCACAGAATTTTAGCCAAACTCTCAATCCTTAACAGGGCTCTCTCTTCCTAGGTGACCCAGAGCTCAAAGCAGCTGTAGGAATGCAGAATCAATATTAAAATCTAAATGATCTCCATACCAAAAAGAATCATGCCCCAAATTACAAACAGAAACCCCATTTCCAACAGCCTCCTCATACATGCCCAACATTCTCAATGACTTGTCTAAAAAAAAAATAACAAGATGGGAAAGCAGGATAGAGGATTGAAACAGAGGGAGGGTGAATAGCTGCAAGAACAGAGAAGAGTAAGAATTGGGTTTGGCCACACAAAGACATGGAGACAGCATGAGAGGCAGAGCAGACAATGAGCCTGCAGGTGAGCTACCTGAGTGGAGGAAATGAGGTGAGAGCTCCGGTGGGAGGTCTAGGTATCCTGTCCTGGGCTCCAGAGACCCCTGCAGGCTCCAGGGATGCTGGTGGGCTGATCCTGGTAACAGCTCCACTTTTCTCCTGCTTCAGTCCTACCAGGGGGTCCAGAGCTACAAAGAGCCTGTGCTCAGGAGCAGAGGGCAGCCTTCTGGGAACAGCCAGTGATGTCACAGGCCATGAGCAGAGGAGAGAGGAGGAGGGAGGTGTGCTTGGGGCTGAATGACATTGGCCCTGAAGCAAGGCAAACCACAGCCAATGACCCACTGTGTCCTTCTGTGGGAGTCCTCAGAGCCCACCTTGAGTCCACCTACCAACCTGAAGCAGGTACAGAGCCATTCTCATCCAGGCCCCCTGACCCCAGAGTGCTTCCATGCAGGGATCAGCACCCCTGAAGAACATGAAGAACATGGAAAATGGGGAACTTCAGACTGGGTGGCTAAAGTTTTAAATGCATAGAAGCACAAAGGAGTCTGCCAGAAACACTGATATAGCTCCTGGCCAGAATGTACATGCCTGGGCTTTGGGGCCAACACCTGGGTCATGTGTGTATTTCTATAAAAGATAAATAGGTATAAACACAGAATGAGTTGGCTCTGAGAGAAAGAGGGTGGATGGAGAGCACGTGTCTCATAGCACAAGTTCTCTCTAGAGAGTGTTCTCACCAGTGCTCCAGCTGGGTGCTTGACTGAGGTGACACCAAGGATGAGTGCTTTCATGGAAACAGGGGATCCTGGACTTCAGAGCATTGAAAACCATAGTGGTGGTGAGAATGAGCCTCCGAGAGTTAGAGATGCATGCAGGGTGCTAATGAGGAGGCATGGGACCTGTTTTTCCTTCTTCTTCACATGCTATCAGGCTCTGTCTCATGAGGAATCTGGTGCCTTTAGATTCTCAGTCATTAATGATAACAAGCATCTCACAAAAGACACCATAGGTTATCTGGGTCACAGTTGGAATGAGGGCACCAGTGGCTGGGTAGGTTGTCCCTATGGAGTAAGTGCGTTGCTGGAAGTGAACATAGCCTCCAGCGCTTGAAAGTTTTGTTGCTATCATTGTCTTGGGCAGATCCCTGCTGGATGTGCAGAAACCAACATGCAAAGCCCTCTGGGTCCATTCCACACTTCAGATCCTGTGATTCCATTGTAGAAATCAGGCTGAAATAAGCAGGGTATAGGGCAATAGACTGGAACCAGAAGTCGGAGGAGGGAAGAATGGATCTTATTGGTTACTGCTTTGGGTTTGAGTGGGTAGGAGTGGGTATGGTGGATTTATCTTGATCCTAGGGCTGGTAACTCTTGTTCTCAAAGGCCAAATGTATCCCAGAAGTGGTTTTCCACCTTACCCTAACACATACTCCCCTCCTCTTTCAGTCTCCACCAGCATCCTCAGGCTGGTCTAGAGCTCTGGAGCACAGGGAAGACTGCATCAGGTGGTTTCAGCACTGTGAGAAAGACAGCACATGCCCAGTGAAAGCAGAGCCCATTCCATCTCAGGGCAGCTAGGGACTGCTGGTCACTCTACTTAGTCATGCCATAGTGAAAGAAAGTCCCCAGAAAGACATAGGGTAACCCTATTCTTAGTCCCCCTTTTCTGCCCATACCTTCCCCCCTGAATCTGCCCCTGCATCTGGAGGCTCAAGGCTCATATCCTGACTGGCTATTCCCAGAGACAGCTGCATAAGGGTGGAGATAGGGGTGTCAGGGGGGAGAAAGGACAAGCCCTGGCAGATGGTGGTGGCAGCGATTTCCCCCATAAACTACCCTCTCCCTCCGCCTTTATGACTGGCTCTCGGGTCTGAACAAACAGAAGCTTTCGACCCAGAGGTGATGGGGGGAGGGAAAAGAGGGAAAGGGCCCTGGCTGGGGGCCTAGCAAGCCCAAAGGCTCCACAGCTCAGCCCTCTGCCCAGCGCACCAGACTGTTTGAGAAGCAAATATATGCCTTCACTGTCTGACTCTCTCAACTGCCCCCACCGGGTTTGGGGCTAATTGTCCCTCATTAGCTAGGCCCAGGCCCTAAGCTGCTGTCAGCCCCCGCCATCTGCTCACAATTATACATTAACTCAGAGGTCTTGCCACCCGCCAGCCAGTCTGTGCGCCCCTCTCCCGAGCCAGCCCTGGCCATTCCAGCCTGTCTTTCACCCCAGAGGCAGAGCCCTAATCAATGGCTTCTTCTGCCCTTGGAAGCCTCTGGTACAAAGACTCATGGCTGTGGAAAAACGTCCTCCCCTCAGGAGAGAGGTGATTGGAATTCTTCTGATTTCCCCTCGGGTCTAGAAGGTGAGCTAAGCCCGTGCGTAAAGCTGGAGAAGATAGGGCGCGGCTGGCGCAGAGACCTGCTGACTTTCCTCTGACACCTATTGGGGGAGGTGACACCAGTTCCAGGCTGTTTCTCCCCTCCCTATGGTGACTTTTTGTAGGCTGCGAAGTCCCAACCTCCATCTTCCCTCTTCCCAAAGAGCCCCATCTTATGCTAGTCCTCAGCCTTCCAGAGCGCACAAGTCACCTATCCAAAACCACTCTCTGGCAGCTAGTACCTCCCATTGTAAAGTCCAGGTGATTCCCTTGCTACAAAAACACAGGGATTCTTTACATTCCCTGGATGTTCCTGAGCTCGGGTTCCTCATGCTAAAGCTGCATCTCCCACCCTCAAAGTTTTATGCAGCCACCTTACTCTCCCAGCCCATATTCCACTCCAACACCAAAAC